TATAGATTCGATGAGTGTCTTCGCGGTGCCACTGGTCAAATCTTTATTTTATTATATTTTACCATCCATATTTACTATTTACTAGTTTTATTGTTGAAAAAGGTATTTCATTTAAAAAAATGTGAAAAATAGCAAAACGTATAAAAAATAAGTGAAAGTGACACGTGAACACTAAAATTGGCATTTTATTTTGAAGTGATTAGATATTATTTTGTTTTATAAAAAAATTTATATAGAATTAAAACGGATATAAATTTATCTAATATTAATTATTTTATTATCTCTATTAATTAATTTATTTTATTGTAACATCGATTAAATAAAAAGTAAAAAAATTAATTTTTTATAAAAATATTAAATTAAAAAATTGAAGAAAAAAATAGATATTTTAAATAATAAGATAAAATGGTTTCATATTAAAGAAATTTTAAATATATTTTTTAAAATATTAAATATTTTAAAAAAGTAAATAGCAAAAAAAAAAGAAAAGCAAAAAAAAAAAGTGTCAACTAACTTAATAAGTAGGATACTGACATATTATTAATATAAAGTAAATTTTTAAAAAATATAAAAATTTATTTATTAAATATATTTTAAAAAAAGTGACATATTATTAATATCAGATGAGTAGATGCAAAAAATAAAATATTAAATAATTTAATTACATTTTTTTAATTTAAAAAGGATAAAATAAAAAAAGGTGAAAAGGAAAAGCAAAAAAAAATTGATATAAGTGGGTCTAAAATATAAAAATAAAATATTGAAAAATATATTTTATAATTTGAAAAATATTTATTAAATAATTTAAAAGTAAAATTTAAAAAAACCAAAAAAGATAGAATAAAGAAAAAGAAAAAATGAAAAGACCTGAAAATGACACGTGATTGCCCATGGGTACAGTATTGTTAATTGTACATTACTCCAGTGTGCCATAAAAAACTTTCAAAAAATCTATTAAATACTTTTAAAAAAAGAAAAAGTAAAAAAAAGTTATAAGTGGGTTCAACATAAAAAGTATAATATCTAAAAAATATATATTATTTATAATTTTAATAAAATAAAAAAACACATAATTTATAATTAGTATCAAGTGAGTTATAAAGAAATCTAAAAACTCTTTATTAAATATTTTTTAAATTTAAAATAAAAAAGTTAAAAATGGTAAAAAAAGGAAAAATAAAAAAAAGTTTGATATAAGTGAATCCTAAACATAAAAAATAAAATTTTTAAAAAAGACATATTTTTCTAATTTTTGAAAATATTTATTTAATAATTTAAAAGAAAAAAATAAAGAAACCCAAAAAAGGGCAAAAAAATAAAAAAATAAAAACCCTAAAACAATAATAAAAAAAAGGGCATGAAAATTATAATTAAGATTTTTTTATTTAAAAAAGGAAAAATAAAATAAGATAAAATAAGAAAAGCAAAGAAAAGTTTGGTATAAATGATCTCTCACATAAAAACACAATCTTTTAAAAAAATATGATTTTTTTTATAATTTTAAAAAGTTTTATTATTTTTTTAAAAGAAAAAGTAAAAAAAAAAAAGAAAAAGAAAAACGGAGCCAACAACTGCGTGGTGGGTGACGCTTTAAAAATCGACACTATGTGCCATAAATTTACCAAAATTGAAGTAATGGGTTACTTGTAACTGAATCCGGAAATCTGGATGAACAAAACAGGGATTGTAAAACAATAATTAGATAGTAGACCTAACTACCTAAGTCACCGAAACTTTTTGTTAGGTCTAACGAATTAAAGCTTGGGTGATAATTAACTAATGGAGTACTGAACTCAAGTTAATTATAAAGATTTTTACATAATAAATATTCAACTTAATTATAAATTAATGTCATAATGATGATATATACTTTGCATATTGTAGAAGGAGACAAATGCAAGTTGATATCTAACAATCAACTTTGCATATTCCAGTTTTTTAAAGAAAAAATTTTTTATTTCCGTAAATTTATATGGTGAAACATTTATATTAAAAAATTTGAATGCACAATAAATATGGTAATAAAAACTGAATAAATAGGTTCTATTGTTCTAACAATCAAGTCCAAATAGAATAAAACTTAATCATTCTCTCTAAAATTATACACTTCATTAGTACAATCACTACATTTTTTTACATTTTGATAAGACACTTGATTTTATATTGTGAAGTCGTTCATCACATACTTATTATCTTACTACTTTGATCAATTTTAACCCTTTTGAAAGAGATATCTGTCCATTTTATTTTTTTAGCCTTCAAAAAAAAAAAAAATGGAACTCTAACTTAGTATCATTTGTTGCAAAATAAGAGAAATTCTTATCCTGTAATAATTATTAAAAATTGTCTTTTGTTTTGCGATTTAGTGATCATAGAAATTTTTAAAAATATATAAAGATTTGATTACGAATCAAGCCTCTCTCATTTTCTTTTAACAAAGACTTTGTACCCTTTGAAACAAAAATTAAAAAATAAAAATTTAATAAATAAAACGACATATATGAGCAGAGTTATCTTATCACAACAAAGAATTAACTCTTATTATTAATTTCATAAAATCACACCTTTTATTTTTTTTTTATTACAAATCTCTCTTCTAGGAATTAATAGTAATTAGAATTAAATTCCTATTTCGTTGAGATTATTTTTTATTTTTGAAGTTATGTTTTAAAAATGAAAGAAGTACAAATTTTTATATCAAAATTTACTAGATGATAATATATAGATAAGTAAAGTGTATTTATTTTTTAATATAAATTATAACTTAATTATATATAAATGTAATTTTTTATTATATTAAGATTTTCAATAATAATTTTTATTAATATAATACATATATAAATATAAATTAATAAATAATTAAATATATTATTTTATATATCCTAAGGAAAGTTAGGTAGAGCATTCTAAATCTAATTTCAACTTGACTCAAATTATTTGAAGAAGTAAAATTTAACTCAATTTTTATATATGTTGTTTTGTTATCCTTGCATCCATTAACCTTTTGTTTTTTTACAAAATTTACTAATAAATAAAATTTTAAAAAATAAAAAAAGACAAAAAAAAGCTGACACATGAATTTATTAAATTAAGATATTAAATAATATATTTTAATAATATATATAAATATAAATTTACAAAAATAATAAAAAATATTTGTATATATACTAAGATCGAGATTAATAACTAAAATCTTGTTTTTATATGAGTTCGATTTAAAAAAAAAACTCAACCTAATTATTTTAAATTAAAAAAAATATATATCAATTAAATCGAGATGAATCAAAACTCATCGAATGTACATTATTCTGTCATCTCTATCTCCATTAATTTTTATATTATAAAATTTATTAGATTAAAAAGTAAAATAACAAAAAAAGAAACTTGAAAAAGCAAAAGCTTAAAAAAATACAAAGCAAATGAAAAAACAAAAAGAGAGAGGTGTTACGTGGATACTAAAGATTGGACGGAGTACTTTAAATATATCTTCAACTTTACCCATTAAGAATAAAACCTCCACATGACCTTCATTTTTTTTAACGCACTTTTATTTGATCATTTAGAATCAACAACCAATTAGATTTGAATTGTTTTATTATCCTTACCTCCATTAAATTTTTTTACAAAATTTATATAATAAAAAATAAAATAAAAAAAATAAAAATTTTAAAAATAAAATAATAAAATAAAATAAAAAGTAAAGAATGGAGGAAGGATGGGTGTGACATCCTATCCTTCATTCTTTACAAAATTAAAATCTATCAGATATAAATTATTTTGTCATCCATATATTTATTAACTTATTTTTGTAAAATTTATCTAATAAATAAAATTTTAAAAAACAAAAAATGACAAAAAAAACCAAATAAAATGGCAACAAAATTTATTAAATTAAGATATTAAATAATATTTTTTAATGTACATATATAAATTTAAAATTAAATAAATAATAAAATATAATTTTTTTATATACTAAGGCCAATGAATAACACCCAAAATCTTCCTCTAATATCCTTTTAATTTAAAAAAAATTAAAAAAAGTGCACCAATTAGATTCGATTACCGGGTTATTTTGTCTCAATTTATTTTTAGTTATAAAATTTATTTAATAAAAAACAAAAATAAAAAAATTTAAAATAAAAAAGCAAAAGCTTTAACAAATAAAGAAACTAAAAAAAGAGGGCGATGCCTTATGGACACCAAAATGGGGTGAAACACCTTAAATTGTTCTCTAACTCCACCTAATTAAAAAAAAATCTCAATCATTTGTTTAAAAAATGAACTTATATTAGATTATTATAAATTAAAACTAAACAGATATAGATTATTTATTATCTTTATTTCTATTAGCTTTTTTTTATAAAATTTATTTAATAAAAAATTAAATTAAAAAATAAAAAATAACATAAAAATAAAATAAAAATATAAAACAAAAAAGTCGAAAAATAAAAAATGAAGAAAGGATGAACTGCATGACATACTTTCATTTTTTGTTTTTTACAAGATTAAGTACGTAAATAAGTATAGCAATAAAAAAAGGTAACATTTGATGTATTGTAGTGTATATATTTTTATATATTATTAATGAATCAAATATATTATTTTTTAATAAAAAATATTAATTTTTAAAATAAATACAAAAAAATAATTTTTAAAAAAAATTTATTTGTAACATTTTTAATTTACGAAGTAATACTATTTATTTTGTTAATAATATATAAAATTTATATAAAAACAATATATCAAATATAAATCTTAAAAAAAATTAACTTTTAAAAGAAGAGACCTCGAAAAGCCAGTAAATAGGTAGTACATATAATAGACTTTATATTATAAAAAAATGTTTGTTTTTTTTGGCTATAAATATATGTATAGAATATAGCATAAGCAACGATAATAAAAGCAGGGCATAAAAGACCAAAAGATTTTTGATAAAACGACAAAACACCTCCCAGACCTTTGTCAGAGAAATATCTTCAACACAGTTGCGTTAGTTCAATTATTACCGGGAATAGCCGGTCATCCACCGGTTTCTCGAACCCCCATGATCACCAGACAGACTTTCTCAATGGCCACAGGGAGAAAGAAAAAAAAATCAATAAATAAAAAGAAAGAGAAACTGTAACAATGATTTTGTTTGAGTGTTTTGAGTTTGAGGGTGAGCGACAAATATTAGATTGAGTTTTATTTGGTTTGTCTGAGAGATAAAAGATGCGTGAGGTGCTGCAGCCCATACCCAAAATCTCAGTTTCTTGAACGCATCACCGCTAAAATGCGCCAGCACTCTCTTCTCTGCCATGTTTTCAGCTTCAGAAGAAGATCATGATAACCTTTCATTTCATCATTTACAATAGCCCACACCTCTGTCTTTCACTGTTTTTTCTCTAAATCAAATTCTTTTTTAATATAACCTTTAGAAAATCTTCTTTTAAATTTTTTTTGTTGCTGTTTCTCTTGCTGTACTCTTTGAACTCGTTTGTATTTTATTTTATTTTTGTTTGGGTTTCTTGAACTCTGTCGGTCTCTCTCCTAGAGAGGTGTTTTTATTGTTTTTGTGTGGCTATGGCGGAGGGTTATGAGCCCTACCATGTCCCACAACAAAGCAGAAGAGATAAGCTAAGAATTGTGGCTCAAAACCACCCAGCTTGTGTTGAATCAACGACTGTTACTCTTTCAGGTTGCTCAGGTTTACTTCCTTTGTACGACCCTTCTTTTTTTTCTTCCGATTTGTTAACTTGCGCTACTGCCAACGCTAGTGCTACTCCAGGTAGCCATGACTTTCACAACCAGACGACCAACCAGGTTTCGGCTTTGGCTTCTGGTAAAAACAGTCCCGTTTGTGTTGTTAAAGAAGAAGGTGTGAATTTTATAGGTTTTGTTGGCGGGATTGTTAACGGTTCTTCTTCTTCTTCAACTTCTCATCACCCTTATTTGGATCCACAATCGTCTTTACCGTTGAACCCTAGCTCGATTCAAGATATGACTAACAACCCTTTCTTTATACCCCGCAAAACCTTCAAAACCTAAGAGATTTTGACCAGTCTTATAATAATGGTGATGGTGAAGTTGTGGTTTATAAACCTGAACCTTTGTCTTTGAATCATGAGTCAAGTACCAATGGTCAAGGCTTATCTCTTTCTTTATCTTCTCATAATACCCACCAAAACAATCTTCCTTTGGAGCTAAATCTACAAAGATACGAGTCTGCTATCTACAGTGATAAGGTTACTGCCAGTGGGTACGTGGTTCCAAGCATTATTGGTGCTAGTTCTTCTACTTCGAATGAGGTTTCCAGGAGCTCAGTCCCTCTCGGGCCTTTCACGGGTTATGCTTCGATTTTGAAGGGATCGAGGTTTTTGAGACCTGCACAACAGTTATTAGAAGAGCTTTGTGATGTGGGTAGGGGAATTTACGCTGAAAAAATTACTCCTGATGCTTCACTGATGGAGACTGCATTGCAGAATTTGAGTGCTACTGGAATTATTGATGATCCTCTTGGTGGGGGAGATGGTGGTGAGAATAGAAGAAAAAAGTCAAGGCTAATTTCAGTGCTTGACGAGGTTTGCTTCTCTAATTTGAAACTATTTGTTTCTCATTTGCATTTCTTCTGAATTGGACTTTGATATGATTGATACTGGAGTTTTGCTTCCGACATGCAATTGATGTTTGATATACTACTTTTTTTTTTCTGGGTTTCTTGGTTTGCTGTGCCTGATTTTCTTTATATTGAAGTGGAGTATTTGGATCCGTGTCCTAATCCCCTTTAAATCTTCCTTGGAGATGGTTCGTTGTGAATCCGAGCATTTCTGCCACTGTAGAAGTTATCAGTTCATTGGCTATTATTAAAATATAAAGTGTCAGATACTCTTTAATGGCGTTAGGTTTAGTCAATTCTTGGACCAACATGCAAATTTGCGGTGTTGCATGCATAATTGGCAATAAATTATACCATCTTCTGCGGCTATGTAAAACGAAAGTTTTCTCGGTAGTTAAAAGCTTTCCTCGATTTGTATACCATGTGAATTAGATTCTTGTATTTGATGAATGGCCTTGATGATCACAAAATTAATCTTTTTATGAAAAGGTAATAGGAGGGAATATATGCACGAAGATTGGTGTTATAAAGTGCCTGACAACCACAGAAAGAGTACTAATAAGTGACAATGTCGCCAAGTTTGGGGCTTAATGTGCTTTTAAAGTGATTGAAGGAATCCATTTGAAAAGATTTATACTCCAAAAAAGTTTGTGGGAAGCATAATTGGTTATTATTCCAAGCCTACAGAAGACAAGATGAGTAGATCACAAGGTGTCTGAACTTTTTGTTGGATAGGGCTTAGCTGAATTTAATTATTATAATAATACTAATACTAGCAAACAGGTGAATATCGTGTTTGCTGCCAAGATGAGTAGATGGACTAATTCCTCTATGTTTTAGGTTCTCCATATTTTATCTTGGAGTTAAAAATCAATGGAATTGGATAAATTATTTAGTTTCCTGAGGTTAATGCTTATTGTAGTGAAAGACATGGCAAATCAAACACCTAGAAATATAGAATTTGCTACTTGATCTGGAATTATACACGATTGTGTTACTTTGAATGTTTTTGTGCTACTTTGCAAAATAAGAAATGGTCATCTCATAATTTGGAGAGATTTATATTGGTCGGGCCCAAAGAGAAAATTTTCATTGAGCTTAATGTGATATAAAACAGAAGGTGATTATTTTTGAGCTTTGCTTGTTGAATAGGTTTTCATGATTTATAATATGAAAATCATTGAGAATGATCTTTCTCTAATGTGATAAGTTGTGAATTATGGGATTAATGATTGGCTGGTCTCCTTTTTTGGTCGGTGATTGGCTTGTCTTATAGCTACTAACTATTGTCTTTGTGTATTTTGGCTTGTTGTAATTTCCCCTATCATCCTAGTCTTTCCTTCGAGGATGTGTTTGTTCTCCCAACCTAATTCCTGAGTTGAATTTTCTGAAGCTAATCAAGCTGTACCCTTATTGGTCTCCTGGTTGGATTGTAGAAAGAATAGACAGGTGATTGCACGTTTTAAATGTGGGGACAAATTTCAGTCTGAATAAATGTCCATCCCTTACAACATCATGCTAATCTGGAAAGATTATTTTCCTGCTTTTTAAAGGAGAGAGGGAGGAATAATTAGGGTTTTAAAAAGGATGCACTACATCTTCCTTCCTGGTGTCTACCATAAAAAGGTTCAGCCATGAATTCCACATGGGGCACTATGTTGGGTTATAATGTCCTTTGAATTATTGTCCTCTAAAGCTTTAGAGGACAAACTTGAACCAATGTGCTTGTGAGATGGTAAACTTTGTTTCCATAGATTTAAAAAAAAAATTATTTCAATAACAGTGGCATGGGTGAAACATTTGATTTCTCTTTCCAATGCATATGTTGCGTGGTTTCATTCTTAGATCATAACACCAAATTAATAGGTGCCCGTCAGTTCTGATTGCCTATTACAAGTAGCTAATAAAACAATATGATATGACGAAAGGAGACGGTGAATAAGGTCTGTTCTTCCCATCTTATCTCTGCAATATTTGGTGCTTCATGGCGGAAATGACACAAATAATGATCGAATAAGTGGAGTATTTATAGTTTCTAGTAGTCTCCTACATATTACTCTTCACTACTTAAAAAAATTGGTTGGGTAGTTGACCATGTGACAAAAGAAGGTAACATCAAAGTGAGGATTATGATTTTATCATGGCCTTAATATTTGTCCTTTCAAAGCCATGCTGTTGTCTGTACTAGGTTCATTGACTTGCTGCTTGTTTGTAATTTGCAATTGTTTAGGTGTATGATCCAGAATTTACAGTATTCTCTTTTCCATTAGGTGCTTTATTGAAGGTTCAATTTCCTACACTGTATGTATATCTCTAGAGGAGATATTTTTTGTAATTTATCAACTGTATTGCTAGAGGAAAGTTAATTTGAGTCTTTTACTGAATGCTAATATCCAAGTTGTATCAGTTTTTTTATCTGAAAATTCTTGAACCAGAGCTTATAATGTATTACAGTGATTCTAGTGTCAGTTTGTTATAATGCATATGGTTGCAACTTGCTAACCATCTTTATCATTATTAGGTTTACAGGAGGTACAAGCAATACTATCAACAGATGCAAGCTGTAGTTGCATCGTTTGAATATGTTGCTGGACTGGGCAATGCAGCTCCATATGCAAACTTGGCTTTGAAAGCCATGTCTAAACATTTCAGGTGCTTGAAGACTGCAATCACTGACCAGCTTCAGTTCACTAATAAAGCTCATGGTCAGATAAGCGCCAGAAAAGATGAAGGTCCAAGGTTTGGAAGCACTGACAGATGCCTTTATAACCGACCTGTTCATAACTCTGGGTTCCTTGAGCACCAACCGGTTTGGCGCCCTCAACGAGGCCTTCCTGAACGCGCTGTAACTGTACTTAGAGCATGGCTATTTGAACACTTTCTACACCCGTAAGTACTTTAAATATTGCATATAGATAAAACTTTACTTGGGATTCATTTTCTTTTTAATTTGTAGTTCTGTTTCATTGATTATCTCATATATATATGTATATGCGATAGTGCATTAACAGTTTTCTATATTTCAGTTATCCAACTGACACAGACAAGCTAATGTTGGCAAAACAAACTGGTCTATCACGTAGCCAGGTCTGCCCTTTATCATCATTTCTGTATTCTTTTATAGTATCATTATGCAAAATGTTTTCTGTAAAATTGGTAATTGGGATGTGTTCAATTTAGCATGAAAAAATACTCTTGTGAACCAGGTGTCAAATTGGTTTATCAATGCAAGAGTTAGGCTTTGGAAACCAATGGTGGAAGAAATACACATGCTAGAAACACGACAAGCTCAAAAAGCTTCGCAAAAGGAGGACAGAAATGCCAACAAGTCAAGTGATCATTTGTCGTCAGCAAACACACTTGCGTCTGAAAATCCATCCAGCTCCACCCAAAGGGTTCAAGATACCCCCTGCAAGCGCACTAGAAGTGAACTTCCTGATATACCCGAGGGAAGTGAACCACTTAACTTATCGACGTACAACGGCTTGTCAAGCCATCCACATGTTGGTATTGGCGTTAGCATGGCAGGTGGAAGTGGTGGTGTTTCCTTAACACTGGGTCTTCATCAGAATAATGGTATTGGATTATCAGAGCCCTTTCCTATAAATGCAGCTCAGCGTTTTGGCCTTGGCCTTGAGGTAAGCAGCGAGGGGTATGTTATTGGTGGTTTTGAAGCACAGAATCGGCATTTTGGGAGGGATGTTATCGGAGGGCAGCTTTTACATGATTTTGTGGGTTGAAAAATGTTCAGAGAAAAAGCTTTCTGGTCATATTATTTGATTGGATAGTATATTATACTAACAAAGTTTCACGTAGATGAGCCAATATTTATTACCAGAATGCAAAGCTGAAACAAGATTAGTCAAAATGATTGTCCTCTTTTACGGTGTATTTATATTTCCTTTTAGAGAATGTCTCCGACATAGATTATTGGTGTAAAATTCTTCTGTAAAATTTAATTTACATGATAAAATATTATACATTTTGAGGCCATCAAATGGAGGCTGGCCTTAGAATGTGCCTAATATTCAAAATGCACCATTTCACCATTTTGACGTTGAATCTTTCTTATTTGTCAATCACTGCACCAGCCCCAATGTATCATTGGCATTTCACCATTAATGTACATAATAGTAAATGAGTTCCTAAATTGTATTTGATGACATTTCCAATTCGGATGTAGATGATGTATGGCTTCATCAAAAAGAGTACTCTGCCTTTAAGAGAACGACTAACAGGCATATCTCATCCAGTTATCTTAAATGGCTTATGCCAAGGCACCTAATAATGTAGGTTGAAGCCTTTCTGTTGTTTTGTCATTTTCATGCTTAACCAGAAAACCAAGAAAAAGGAAAAAAAAAAAAAAAAGAGACAAAGTTGGCTGAGTTGTTGGAGTTTGCTCAAATACCTTATTCCTCACCAGCGGCCTCTAAATTGATGGTTACGGGTCAGGTACTTACCTCTTGACAGATAAGCCGTTCCATGCCAAATATTCCATTGCATTACAAACTTCCCATCCAATTAGCCCCCTCAAGCTTGCCGCATTTGAATCAAGTAAATTTCAGGTTTATACAAAAGAATTAACTGCCTAAAATTTGCTTTTAAATAGAATTGTGGATTGACGGAAGGAAAGACGACATACTGCTTAGACGCGGTCAAAGAAAGACTGAGCATGTAATGTAATGTGATGCAACAAAGTTTTGGGAATTGGGTTTAAATGATTAAGAGTTGTGTTTCTATATAAACACAATCTAGTTGCATGGATGGTAGGTGGGTCTCCTGGTGACAATTTGCTTTTCCAAATTCTTTTCTTTTCAATATCTTTCCTTATTTTTATTATAATTCTACAATGCTAAGCTATTGTTTTTTGTTTACGTTGAGGGCAGACAGGCCTCGATATTCCCTTTGGGGCCCCCGAAAGAGGCGGAGGAGAGAGGGTGAGGTGGAGGGTTACTTTGTACGTTTGCTTTGGTTCAGAGTTCAGAAGTTGAGAGAGAAAAAGAAGAGTGTGGTCCACTGGTAGATCGGTGAAAGCTGTGAAGTGGAAAGATCAGAGCAAGTGCGACTCTGCGAGGCGCATGCTTTTTGCAAAAATTTTGCTATTGTGGCTGCGGGTCGATGTTTGAGCTTAAAAATCAAATCAAAAGGAGCACTTTTTTTTATTATTTAATTTTATATATACGATGATGAAAGTAGCAGATTGCAAATCCAGCAGTTAGGTTAGGCATCTTATCATATGTTTATTTATGCAATTAATCTAGGTTGGTAAAGGGGGAAAAGTAAATTCTCCAGACAAAAGTGGACTTGAAAAGCTGGCGGGTGATTCGAGGTAGGCTCCAAGCCAGCATCAAAGAAGCCTTTTGCTAAATTGTGCGGTCTTTTGAAAAATTTTGTGTCCTTCGTTTTGGTAAACATTGTTTTTCTACGGATCAACAGATATCTAACACTATATTTGGTTGGGGGAATTACAATTTTATTTTTTTTAAATTTTTTTAATGATTCTTTTATTTCATTGTTTGATTCATATTTTAATAAAGAATAGTTATTCCAATTCCTTAAAATTAAGAAAAAATCAATTTTTATTCTCCCCCAAGAATTGCAATTCCTTACCTTTCAGTAATTGAAAATAATATTTATGGATAATTTTTTTTATATATTCAATTAATTTCAATTTTATTCTTACATATTTAATTTCATAATTAATTAATATTAGTTTCATTTGATAAAATTATAATGTATAATTAATTAAATAATATTCAAATAATATTAAAACATTAAAATAATATTTCATATATAGTATTATTAAAATAATATTCTAATATAATAATATTATTAAAATAATATTTAACAGTAAATTGTTATTAACTTACTATTATAATGTTAATAAATTATTAAATTAATATTAAATATTGAAATAATATTAAAAAAATAAAAATGAAATATGATAACATTATTTACATAATATTAAAATAATATTAAAAAATATAATACTATTAAAATCATATATAATATTTAATATTATTAACATACATTTTAAAAATAATATTGATATTTTAAAATATTATTCAGTTTAAAAAAATTAATAATTTCACTTGTAATTTTAAAATAACATTAAAATATTATAAAATTAATTAAATAATATTAAAATATTAATAAAATAAATTTACTACTGAAATAATATTAAATATTTTAAAATTAGTATTTAATACTAAAATATTTTTTAAATAAATATTTAATACTTAATATTAAAATATTATTAAAATAGTATTCTATATTAATATATTATTATAAAATATTACAACATATTTAATATTATTTAATTAATTTTTAATATTATTAAATTTAATATTTAATATGATCAAATTAATATATAATATTGTTCAATAATATTTAATATTATTAAATAATGTTAATAATATTAAATTAATAATGAATAATATTTAGTATTAAAAAATTATTCAAATAATATTAGGATTTTATAAAATAATATTTAATATTAATATGAAAATAAAATTAAAATATTATACAATTATTTAAATTATATTATGCAATTATTTAATAATATTAAGATACCATTCAATTAATATTTATATTAAAATATTATAAAAATAATATTTTACATTAAATATTGTTAAATTAATATTTAATATTAAACTATTATTAACAATTAATACTTAATAAAAATAATATTAAAATAAGATTAAATATTAAAATATTATTAAATTAATATTTAGTATAAAATATTATTAAAATGTTGAATATTATTAAATTAATATTTAATAATATTAACTTAATATTAGTTATATTAAATTATTATTTATTTTATTAATTAATAATTTTGATAATAAATTATAAGAGTAAAATAATCTTTTAAACTAATTCCATTTATATATTTTTTAACTAAACAAACATATTAATATTAATTCCTTGTCAATTCTATTCTAATAAACCAAACTTCATATTACATATTCTATTCCATTCCATTTATTTTCTATTTTCATATAATATCAATTTCATTCCCCTTTTATTTTATTTTGGGAACCAAATGTGTCATAAATAGTAACTTATTTCTCTTTCTTATAGGAGTTGTAGGCAAATGACAATCTAACTCATCTAATACATTAATTTTTTATTATATTATGTATTTATTTATGAGTTTATATTTCATAATCAGAATTTGATATTAAATTTTTGACTTCAATTATCAAAATTCAATAGTTGATAATTTGAGTTGTCAACAATTTTATTATATATTAATAGAATGTTAACTCTTAATTTTAATTGCAAGGAGATTTAAAAACATCATTATGATTCTGAATATCATGGTGTTTTGTTCGAGAATAGAATATCTTCATCTTTAATTCTTGCTATCTTACTTTACCATCAAAAGCCTTCCAGCATATTTAGCTATAGGAATTTACCAAATTTCTTGTTCAAAGATCCCCTTAACAATATCTGCATTTTGAGGCTTTTAAAATTTGGATATATACACTATGAATCACTCTTTCTTTTTTTTAAACTAAAATATTCTAATATGAATTATTAAAAAATACATATGAAAGTTAACGTGTAATTTATGATCATTACGTACCATTAAGCCCAAGCCATGAGAAACTTGTCATAAGGCTTGTCGAAGCCACATGAAGATGTGGATTGATGCAAGGAATCCTTCTCGAAGCCCATGATGATATACATTAGGGCCACAGTCCTTTTTCTTGAGGGGTAATTTATGAGAAAGCCGAAGCCCACAGTGAGCTCCTAAAGGTGTTAGGTTTTGCCCTTTGCTTCCAAGGGATCAGGCTGATTGCCCTTGGCTATGGAACTTAAGACATCCAATGGTTTGTATAAACAAATTTTAAAAAGAAAAACCCATCGACTTCTTCACGAGTTTTCAAAATTCATACAACTTTTAGTTGATTTCAAAGTTTTAATATTCATTCATTCTTTCGTTCATAAAGTTTCATGAAATTAAGCTAACTTATTTTATAGTCTGTAAATGCGGTTTGCAATTACCTTTTTATTTTGCTTTCTTGGTTTTATTTTTTAGATAAATGTATATAAAATTTATACCATTTTTTTACTTCTTGGTGTACTTTTTGTGGGGATGTTAATTTATTTTTCAATATTATTGGATGTCCCCAAGGGATTTCTTACATATATATATATGTTTATAAATGTATTTGGTTGAATGTTATTTTCATGATATATTAGGAAGATGAACTACATCTAATACACATATTTTCTAGTATGTCTACTTCAATCCTTCAATGAAATAAATCTTGTGCAACCACTACGAATTACCAGCTAAGATATTTTCATTTAAAAAAAGAAAAAAGATAATGCGATGGGATTATCTAGTTACTTACCATTTTTATAAAAATTAAAATTTATTTTATCTTGGCTATGAAAAATATATTTTTAATATATAAAAGAAAAAAATAAAGAAAAATAAAAATTGTACTATTCACTTTAAAGATGAGTGCTAATAAAAAATACTATTTCATATATGATATAAACTCAATTAGTTTTTTTTTTTTGGGTTGTGTAAGCAATATTAATGGTTTATTTAAAAATTTAATTTCCACTAATATATAAATCCAATTGCAATTGGCCATTGAAAAAGTAAAAAGTTTGTGAGGGGGCAATCCCAACTTGGCAAGGATTAGTATAAAGTACAATAAATACAGGAAGAAAAAAGAAATTTAAATATAATAACTAATAATTGAGATAAAAAGGTCCGTAGAAGGAAAAATGAAGGAAAACAAGGGGCATTAATAATAATAAAAAGAAAAAGGTATTTGCGTATTGAAAATATTTTCGTCGAAAAAACGCAGAGGAAAGCATATTCCAAAGTACCAAAGCGAGACCAAACTCCCAAAAGTCTGTTAAACCACCAAAAACCCCTTCTACTTCTGTCCCCATTAGGGTTTTTTAGGGTTTCTCCGTTTCCTTTTTCCTTCAAACTTCACCAAATGACTTCCGTGTTTTCCTTTCCTTGGTTTTTTTGACTTCCTTCTTTAAAACCCATGTAACACACAAACCCAAAAACTCCGAAACCCCAAATTTTTTTTTTTTTTTTTTTGAAAAAAGGTGACAACTTTGAGATATTATGAATATGGAGGCGAGAGTTGGAGTGGTGGTTGAAGGAGGCCAAAGGGCTTTGAATTCAGCCCACGGAGCTGTCGTAGATGCAGGGACCAGAAAGTTTTTACAGCAGCAACAGCAACATGGGCATTCTTCAATGCAGGGTTTGAATCCGCAGATTGGGACTATTCAACAGCTTCTTGCTGGTGGTATTGCTGGTGCTTTTAGCAAGACCTGTACAGCTCCTCTTGCTCGTCTCACCATCTTGTTTCAGGTCTGGTTTACAGCTGCTTTTTTTTTTTTTTATCGTTAATGTTGATTCTTTTTTTGATTTTTACTGGTAATTTTGATCTGGGTATGTCGTAGTTTGTTGGTTTTTTTCATTTAACTGGAGCTGGGGTTTGGGAAATTGGGTTTCTTTGTCACGAGTTACTTCTTGAGATTTTTTAAAGGAAAATTGTAGCTTTGATAAAGTGGTTCTGGTTTCAATTTAAAAAAAAGAAGAAGTAAAAGATGGAGAGGATTGTTCATATCTGTTAGATGGCATGGGAAGTTGAATTTCTTGTCTATTTACTGGGTTTTCTTTTGTTGGAAATAGATTAATAACAACAAGCATTTTTTTTTCACAAGAATGTTAATTTTTGTGGATTTCAATGAAGGGATTAAAACTATGCTCACTAAGGCATTAGGGTCACATTTAGCATGAAATAGCAGACTAATAGTGGCCGCTTAATGGTTTTGAATAATATATTTCTAAATGTTTGTCACGAATTTAAACACTGCTTACTGTTACATTAAGTGTGGGAATATGTTCTACGCTTCTACCTTAATGGGACTGCTGAATGATCTCTTATTTTCTCAGGTGCAAGGAATGCAATCCGATGTATCAACATTGAGCAAGGCTAGCATATGGCGTGAGGCTTCACGAATTATTAATGAAGAAGGGTTCAGAGCATTTTGGAAAGGCAATCTCGTTACTATTGCTCATCGTCTTCCCTATTCTTCAGTCAACTTCTATGCCTATGAACGCTACAAGAGTGTATGTTCTGAATTTTTTAATAATAGCTTTTTGATTTTTCTCAACCATAATTTTCGATTCATTCATTCCTTTGTTTTTCTTGCAGTTCTTGCAATCCATTATCAGCCTGGAAAATCGAAATGCCAGTGCTGATCTCTGTGTGCGCTTTGTAGGGGGTGGGTTGGCTGGAATGACTGCTGCCTCTGCTACATATCCACTGGATCTCGTAAGGACTCGACTTGCAGCACAGGTAATATGAGTAATACCTGAGTGAATAAGGCACTTGCATTTGCCATTGCCTACCCTTTGACCAAGATTTTAGAAGTCCTATTGCTTCCCTTTTCTTATACACCATATTTCTGTTCTTTTTTCTACCTTCCAAATTCTTCTGAACTTTGCAGAGAAATGAAATATACTACAGAGGTATTTGGCATGCATTTCATACCATTTGCAGGGAAGAGGGATTTTTTGGCTTGTATAAAGGACTTGGAGCAACATTATTGGTATACTTACTGCTATTCTTTAATTATTTATTTTCCCATCTCATTGTCTATAATTGTGGCAGCAATGCTGTGTGTGTGATGCAGGGTGTTGGACCAAGTATAGCAATAAGTTTTTCAGTATATGAGTCTTTGAGATCTTATTGGCAGTTGCAAAGGTAAATATGCTATCGGTTTAGAATGATCAATAGCATTTGTTCTTTTATGTTGGTTGTTTCTGCTTGGTGCGCTCAAGCTGCAACTTATTTGAAATTTCTTTGATTTTACATTAGGCCCAATGATTCCACCATTATGGTTAGTCTTGCCTGTGGCAGTCTCTCAGGCATTGCCTCATCAACTGGTTAGTAATCTGCAACCCTACCCTTTGGTTTGACTCTCCTCACTCTACTATTGTATGGTTGGGTTAAGGGGTTTCTTTTCCCTCAGCTGAGTGGAATCGGTTGACATACCCAAATGGTTTTAGGGCCACTCTAAACATTAGTACGGTTCTTTTTTTCTCAAGTTGACACACCCAATGTTAGAACTTAGGGTTTTCAGCTTAGAGATCTCAAGTTCATACGTTAGGAATGGGGGGAGGGGATGGTTTATAAGATTTTACTTTCCTTTTATAGCCCAAAGCCCAAATAGTTACTTTCCTTTATAGCTATTTCTGATCTCTGCATGGCTTTCTTTTCTTCACTGATAATTTGCAGCAACATTTCCTATTGATCTTGTGAGGAGGCGAATGCAATTGGAAGGGGCTGCCGGACGAGCCCGTGTTTATAAAACTGGGTTGTTTGGGACTTGCAGGCATATTATCCAGTCTGAAGGCCTTTGCGGATTGTATAGAGGGATTCTGCCTGAGTACTACAAGGTGGTTCCTGGTGTAGGCATTGTCTTCATGACCTACGAGACATTGAAGATGCTTCTATCGAGCATCCCTACCAGTTATTAGCATCATTTCAGACTCCTTTTTTGGCATACATTTTGTCTGTTGCAATTTGTTAGTCATTCAGTTCTCAAGATGACAAGGAAACCCAAAAAGAATAGGGTAAAACAAAGTAAGCAGTTGCTCTTTCTTTGGTATTAGTTGGGAAATGGTGGTAAATTTTGCGGTTGCTGCCATGGGTATTTTTTTTTTTAATGTATAGGTGATTAACACTGTGAGAGTGACGAAAAGCGTATCAACAATCTAGTTCCAATATACTTAGGCCGTGATCACCGTTTTGTACGTTAATTGTTTATCGATGATAAAGTCATCAACACAGTTTTCCGCGACTTGTTTTATTACCTGCCTCTGTGCAGGACAGGCTGGCTGCCAGTGTTCAATTCTTTTGTATCTGAAGCGACATTAAATTGAAAATGTTGGTTATTTGTGAAAAGCTATGCGTGATTAATTTCTATGGATAGAAAATAAATGAAGTAAAGTTTGCGGGTATCAACTTTTTGTTAATAGCAGAGATCGATGTCAATCAGTTTTACGCAAAGCCATTGCTATAAGATCACAAAGTTGATATTGTATCACTAAAATATTTGCAATCTAATAACAATTTGCATTTCTCATGGCACAAATAGAACAAGGGGAAAAGAGAAAATGAATAAAAAGGAGAAAGATAACCGATCTTCATGCAACAACGAACTCATGTTAAGACTTTGTATGTTATCCTGTTTCAATTATATGGCTATTGGGATAAAGGAAAGGTATGCAGGGGATGGCTCATTACTTCTCGAAAATATAAAGCGATCATCATTTCTCTCGATTAATACATTCAAATTTCTCAGCAATAGAAGCCATGGTTTATATTCTTTTTTTCCTGGTCCCTGATTGGAGGGCCTGACATGAACAAGGGGGACCACCAGATCACATTGTAGCAAGTGTTGGGGTGAAGTTGTTAGCATAAGATGCATGCCGGTGGAAAGTAACCATGGAATTTATTCTCAGCTCAGAAGTTGCTTTGCTTCTTTCAGCATATTAGCTGAAAAAAGAATGTTCAAGGCTTCTACTGGTTATGTTTTTTCAGGAAAAAAAAAAAGAACAGATGAACTTCAGACACATGCTCCATTTCTTTGTCCACCAGCGTGACATTGATCTATCACATGATGATTGATGACTGCTTATGACATCCGAAATGACATAATATTCTCGAGGGAAGGAAAGTCTGGTGAAGGCAGCAATAGATTGTGTCTGGTTTGGTTGCACACCATAAGTTGTGAACTGTGAAGCTATCAATTGGCGTGGCATTCAATTTTGGATGGTTTCAGAGGAGAGGGCAATTCCATCTGTTTAAATTCACTAACGACAATTGCAGATTTTAGGTAGTTAAGCAAACATGTAATTAACCCTTCTTCGCTATTGCTCATAAACAATCTGCAACATGACAAGGAAACTATTGATCATTAACATCCTTCACATTTCTTTCTAGCCAAACAAGCCCTTTGTGAGATGGGGACAGTGTAAGGTGCCTTTCAATGGCCAAGAGAATAGAATATGCTTCGCACATAAAAGCCGATGGAGACCATGAAACCAGATACTAAATGTAAATGTGGCATTCCTTTTCTTTTCAACAGTTTATTATGTTCGATGGAGAGAGCTATAGAGCCCCAAATTAGAAGATATGTTCATAAAGCTCAAGATTCTTCAAGTGGAATTGTATGCTTCAAGCAGACTAAAACCCTTGTTTAGTACCGTTAGGTTTTGGCAAAAGAATTTTCATTTTCCTCAGTATTTTCTATAGTGTTATATAAATTGAGGAGAACCTTTTCAAAGTTGCCAGGGAAGATCTCTAGTCATGAGGAAAAAGCAGTCAATATCACCACACCATCATTGTCTATGGAAAGTAAGGCCATCATTGGCTTGAGAAGAACAGAATCAACATGATGATTCGCATTAGAGAATCTTATCCCCCTTTATTCTTTAACAGTTTTACCCCTCAATTTATGGAATAAATTTTCATGTTAGCTTTAGGAGCCACTATAAATTTCTGTATTCATGCATGAAGGCCTCAACTTCTGCCTTGTGTTTTTCCTTTCAATTCTTTAATCTTCCTTCGACATTTATTTTCTTTGCAGAGTTCATATTGGTGAGGACTGGGTAATCTGCATCCTGAGGTTTGGATCGACATGCTTGTTTCCTTGTTGTATCTAGTCCTTGGGATGCAGATTACCTCTTCCTTACTGGCAATACAAAACTTGTCACCCAACCCTATGTAGTTAACTACTTGAGGTAGTTGCACTACAAAGAACTCATGCATGGTAATCTACTTTATTTTGCTTGCCAAAAACTGTTTGTTCTTGCATTTGCATATAATTTTTCCTCATTCTCTGGCAGTTCATGCATCAGTTGTACTGAAATTTCTTATTGGTTTTTATTTAATGGCATGATTTTGCAGGTTCAAGCTCTCAAGCAATAACCTAGTAGCCTATATACTAGTAATGTGACCAACAGTACTGAGGACTAACAAAACATCTTTTCCTTCTTATGTCGATCATTCTAGTTCAAAACCATTTTATTTCCTTCAAAACTTGAGCTTCCTTACATGCTTTGAAGATCCTGCAAGGAATATTCTTGACAAGTTTCCTATTTTAGTTGCAGAGGTTCTAAATAAGATATCAATGAAGAATAATATTAATACATAAACCAGCCTTTGCGTATATGGTAGAATTCTGTTGATCCGAAAAGATGTTAGGTGAAATCCGAAAAGACATTAACATTCGTACCGTTCTTACAAATCATTTTTCATGGTTTTCTGCAGCACTCCTATTGCCTCTTCCTTCGTTTCACTGAAGTCATTGCCATCCTTGAAGATGAGAAACTCCATCTTTTCCACATGGAAGAATATAAAAGTTCCACACAAATGCGAAATGCAAGATCCGAAGTCTTTCCCAACCACACAATGCCATGCTGTCCCATAAGCTTCATCAAACTTCTGTTTAGGAGGTTGAATGTTGGCTTAGAAATTAAAATTATTTTCAAAAGCTTCATGGATACTACTTCCTTAACATTCTTCACACATAGTAGAACTTAAGGCAAATATTTGTTTCAAGTTCTTCAACTAAAGTCACTGGATTCTCTTAGATGTAATAGTTGAAAACAGAATATTAAGCTGCATATCATGATCACATAAAAAATCATTTGAACCATATTAAGCAAGGCAGGTAGCATCCTAAAGGACTATTCCAAGGATTAGATTAGAGAATAAGTTAAAGGTGAATGACTTAAAGGTCTAGTGATTGGACAGAAGGGTGAAGCTTTGAATCTACAGCAAAGTGAAAGCTTTGAATCTACAGCAAAGTGAAAGCTCTGAATCTATCTTCAAGAATTACTATATATATATATATATAAAAAAAAAAAAAACGGCTTTCTAGTTTGCGTTCGTCATGATATTTTTGAAATTTTGATCCACTAAACACAAGTTTATCCTTCGATTGCTTGTACCAGAAAAAGATTATATGATACATTCATGTCTTTATGGTGGCGAATTTTATATTTGTTTAATAAAGAAAAGGATTAAGGAATCCACTATAAATATTCATTTAAAGCTTTATGCTACTTCTAATAGAATGCTCCAGGGTTGAGAATAGACCTGTTTGATGTAATGAGCAATGGATTGACAGTCGGAAACCTCATGGAGATCAAGAGCCTGATATGCTAACTCCATTACACGGCTCTGCATCTCCTCTGGCATATCAGTTTCGCGCACTACAGCTTTCCCTTCCAGCATCCTCTATGAACAAACTGGTATATCACTCCCAATTAGTTCTAACTCTACTGCTTTTTTTTTTTTTTGGGTGAGAACTTCTAACTATAGTGATGAATGGGAGAAGCTTCCAAGCTAATTACTTTATAGAGTGCAAAGTAAAAGAGAATTCTTTAGCAAAGAAAAAGAATGAGAGGTAGAAATTGGGAGTTCAAGGGTGATATTTTTCTGCACGAGTACTGAAATTTTGTATGCATTAGAAGTGCTACGATCAAAAACAGTTGGCGTAACAGAAGGGCAAAAAAAAAAAAAAAAATCAAACAAGATGCAACAAAAAAATCTGTTCGGGTAGGGACTTTGCAAAGTATCAAAGTTACAAGTCCCCACCATCCAATTTGGAACTCCAAAAACATATGGCTGTAATGATTAGTATTTTTCCTTTTTTTTTTTTGTGGGTAGTATTGATTTGGAACCAGGACCATTCATGGAATCAGAAAGAGTTACATGTAATTGGGCCAAATCATTTTAACTTGAGGATTTTAAAAGAAAAATGGTTTTAGATAGCTTGATTAAAGAGTTCCATTTTTTTTTATAAATCAACTTACTGTTGTAGAAAACCGATACAGTGCAGTCATACTGATATCAGCCAGGAGTAAACCAACATGCTCTAACCAAAACCAGCAGGGCCGTGAATCGAATTTGTATGATCAAAACTGATGGGGACTTTGAAAGAAGATCTAACAATGCTACGAGTTCTTGCGCTCGAGAATATTGATTAAAAGTAATGATGTGACATTGATTGTAAGCAAGTTAGAGCAATCAAATTAACAAGTTTCCGATGAGTGATTGTAGTAGCAATGAAAAATGAAAAGCACTCTCGAAGAAAAATCATAATATTCGATATCTTGACACGCGGAAGTGGCAATTATATTAATACTTTTCCATGCCATAATGAAAGACTACAAAGGCGAAGTGTAACAAAATTGAGCAATTCCATGTTCATCTATTACATATGACTATGAGGCTAATGCAATGTGCAGAATTTAACTACTAAAAGCTAGAACTGAAGAAGAAGAAAAAGCCTGTAGAACTTGACTTATGAAGCTGCTATTTCTTTACCAGCCTCCCTAAACTGATCTGTCTATTTCAAGAAAAGAAAAAATTGTAAAATAAAATTACACGTGAAACGAAAATTCACCAAGATCAAACCCCTATCTCCCACCCATTTCCAAAAGCAAAATCCAACTAATTCCTGATAAAGAAGACTTGAAAAAACCCCAAGAAAAAAAAAAAAAAACAAATTTGAGAAAGTTCCGAGAGGGTAAGAGAAAACCCATTTCTTCTTATTAAACAAAGAAACCAACAAAATGCACTAAAAAAGACCCATAAAATTAACCTCTGTCCTCTGTTTAGCCTTTTCACCTTGATCTCATCAGGAACACGCTTAGTTCTTGGCCAGCGCACTCATCCGGGTTCACAAGGTGAAACGACTCAGAGTCAGAGTTAGCAACAACATGCTCATAATTAGCCCTCATGTACATGATCTCCTCCGAACCTGACGACCCTAAACCAGCAGGTATCACCCCGGCTCCAACTGTTGTAGATTGCATCGTCTTTAACATCAGATGGTTATCGTGATTGGCTTTTCTTTTTGTAGCAAATCCAATATTTCGACCATTGCAGTACATGGTCCAAATAGGGACCGAGTGGAGAGGACAAGAGCTGAGTTCGGAACGATCACACTCGAGAGCAATGCGTACGATGCCACTGCGCATTACTTGGACAAATTGGTGAGTTGGGATGGAGAGTTCGAGGAGGAGAGAGGGTTTTGTGGAGAGACGGTCGTGTTGGATGCAAAACCAGACGTGGCCTTTCCGTTGACCGAAGATGGTGCCTATCACCATGGACCTAGAAGGGCGTGCAGGACCTGACGTGGTCGTTTCAAATTCCGTTGTGGTAGTGGAATCTTGAGAGTCTTTGTCTTGGTCTTGGTTCTGAGAGTCTTGGTTTGGAATGGTGATGGGGTCGTTAAAGTCGTCCCTGAGGGAGGTGCTTAGGCGCTTCTTGCTGGGGGCAAAGGTGGCGTTGGTGGGGGAGAGACAAGGGAGTAGTCGACGGAGGCCGTCGAGCTTGGTCATTGGTTTCTCGAATCAAAGAAGAGAGATAAAATCAAGGGCTCAAGAGACTCTGTTGGGTTGATGGGGTGCGAGGTGGGAGAGGTTACTTCGGCTATGGACATTGGGACATATATATATATATATATATATATATATATATATAGAGAGAGAGAGAGAGAGAGAGAGAGAGAGAGCGGGAAATGGATATGGCCGTTATCAATTGGCCATGTCCCCCTGGTAAAAAGGTTGACCAGTGCATATAGACCAAGTGGCAAAAACCATGACCACTCAGGTTACTATCAGGTAATATTTATTTATGGATTTACTTATTTGTTTGGCCCCTAGTTAACAGTTAATTTAGACATTAATTGGATGCGGTAGAACTTACATTGTCATCGTTTTCAGAGTAGAAAGAAAGTATAAACAGATAAACATTTCAAGAAGCGTGAATTTTCTGCAAATGAATTCATTAAGCAAAGCAACAGGAACAAGGAGGAAGGAGAAAGAACCTATACAATTGGGATTAACAGAACATCATGATCCTCTCTAGTTTCGTTCTCTCTATACTCAATCAGTATATATAATTCAGAGCAAGAGATTCAAATTTGGATCCTCCTTTTGAAAGAATCGCCATATTATGACAATCACTAGACTATCTAGTCCCATCTTTTTTTTTATGCTGCTTCCAATGTTTGATCTTCATTGTTCTGCTGACCCTCTGATCTTTTTCATCAGTACGAGCATTAGTCATGAAACGCCTTGCAAAGAGATTGAAATAAAGGAAATTCAGGGTTCCTATGCCAGCCACGAGGTAATAGAAATTTTCAAGCTTATCCTTGTTAAGGTCGTGACCACCTAACCATGGTGATTTCCCGCCTTTTCTAGTTAATTTGTAGACGATATTGACAAGAATGGAGTTCAAGTAGCTTGCAAGAGATAAGCTTACAAAGAAGGTTGCTCCAGCAACAGTTCTCATGGACTCTGTCAATTGCGTGGTGAGAAATTCCATTAGGGCCACTGCAGCAAATGCTTCAACTAAACCTGATAAGGCAAACTATGGCAGGAGCAATAAAATGCTTATAGGCGACTCGAAGGAACCTTGTTTCAAGGCTGCCTCCGGCGTTGCTTCTCAACAACGGAAGCCACTAACGAGCACGCAATAGCAATCACCAGACCAATATTAATCCTCTGCGTCATTGACAATCTTTTAGCTTTCCCTGTTCTTCTCCGTGTCTGAGGTACACAAATTTGCTCATAAATGAAGATCCATATTGCAAGGACAATCGTTGATGAGAGTCCCATCCAGCCTGGGGGGACCTGGAAACTAGATCCAAGGGTTTTCGTTGTCTGAATTGCTTGAAGAATTCCAATTGTACCCTGCTGGTCCATGGTTATGAAACAACCAATTCCCGATATCCAAACAGGCATCATTCCAAACAACCTTTTCAGATTTTCCACCTGTTGAATACTGCATAATCTCCAATCATTCTTGGGCTTGCCTTGGTCGTCCAACTCACTTTGATCAGCAATTATAGGAGCCTTGTCAAGGCAACTTAACCTTTTGGTGCGTGAGAGTTTTGATCCTGATTCATGAAGGTCTGGGTCATAAAGGAGTGCCCAGAAGCAGTCAAGTTATGCTTTATAGTGGCTGCTGTGATCACCTTAACCATGTCAACAAAAAAACACTTCCTTGTGGCTTCATTATTATGTAGGCATGGTGTCCAATTACGAAAATTACAATGGAAAGAACAAGGCAGGCAGTTGGAATTGCAAAACCAATAATTCAACTGATATTGGTCTGAATATAGACAACTCCTGTTAGTATGAGCTATCACAAGGGCCAAGGTGAATGTGAAGTACCACCAGTTGAAGAAGCTCTCTAGTTGTGCTCTTCCCTTCTTTGTTGTGGTGTCAAACTGATCAGCCCCAAAGGCAATATTGCAGGGTCTGATGCCTCCGGCTCCAATGGCCATAAGTGCAAGACCAGCAAAAACAATGCCCATCTGCCACAACTTGGGTTCTATGCAATTGATTACGTCAATGCAGGTTGGAGGTCTTAATTTAGGCACAGCTGCAGTAAGGGTCATGGTCGCCAGCCCCTGATTGACCAGGAATTTTAGAACAAAATATGCATTCTGTATATGCAAAATGGCAATCAGATCTCATCCAAATCATGACATGATTGGAGAAGAATTCTCTCACTTATGTTTCAGCATTTTAAAATGAAATCTCTAAATACACACCAAAAGTAAATACAAGTATCCACATGACAGACAACATTAATTTGAATCTTTCATGTTGGATATCATAAACTATACTTGGAAGGAATATCCAACGCATGGTATTGAACATCAAAGGTCCAAAATTGAAAAAAAAAAAAAAGGTTCTGGGGATGCAATAATAATCAAATGCAATTTCTTGCACTTCAAGATCTTTCATTCTCCTACATCTTTCATCATTTTCTATATCTATATTAAGGAATTAGAGAAAGCATACTGATTTACCAGTAACGAGGAGATTGAACCAAAGAGCAGAGTAAGGAACCGTCCCAGAAATGTATCAGAAACCAAAGCACCGGCTATTGATGTGATGTTGGAGCAACCGGACTAAATATTAATCACGTTAACCACAAGTATCCCATCCATGTTGTATTTGGTTTTCAAATAAACAGTCATGTTGGCAATCAAACTCAATAGAAGCACGTTTCTCGAAGGTCTCGTTCCCTAGAAAAGGAAAAAACAAAAGAAACCCAAACACGATCAGGAAGTCTGCACCCTATCCATTTAAATTTATGAACAAACATTGAAGGGGAAAACAGGAAATGGCATAAAAAATTGAATGCGATTTTTAGTTCTGCAATGGATCACCAATAATGTATTTGACAGCCCTCCATCCTCCAGGTGCCTTTTTAGACGAAGTCGAAGGTTATGGAAGGGATTGTGAGTTTTGTTCTACTAAGAAAGAACTGGATCCATCAGCCATATCTTTCTCTGTCAAGTGCTTTCCCTTTCTTCCTTTCCTTTTGCCCTGTTTTTTGCTGTGAAACCAAAGGAATGTATATGTGTTCTCCAATTTTGTGCTCAAAGTCTGTTGCTCAACAGCCCATTCCCTTGTTTTTCCCACGTTGGAAGAGTTTTCTATTTTTATGGAAACCAAGACAATTTTTTTCTTTTTTTACCATTTTACAAGGTCAACCAAAAATTTGTCATAACTGACTGATTACTTTGTTATGACAAATTGCTTGTCATGGAAAAATGTGAAGCTTTTGTCTAGGTTAGCTCTTCACAAGCATTATTGTTGTTAATCTGACATTATTTACGTTATTTTTTGTCCCAAAATGTGACCGTGAATTTCCAGGAACATATGCATACTCTTATCGCAAACAAGAAGAAATTGAGAGTTTAATATATTTTTTAAAAAGATTAACTTCCCAATTAATGATTAAGATTTAATACGTCTACGAGGAAAGATATGACAAAAAATAAACATGATAATTTAATACACTACACATTGACACAATATAAAATGACATGAAAAAAATTGTATATAAATTTAATATAATTATGTTTCGTATTTTAATCGTGTTGATACAGTTAAGACACGATATTATTTGTGTCAAATAATAATAATACGTTTAAGATATAATATTATTTATAACATAAAAAAATTTAAAAATTATTTTAATTTATTTAAAAAATAAATTAATAATTATATTTATCATATCATTTTTATGTTTAAATAAATTATAAATATTTAACTTTTAAATAATTTTTTATTTAAATAATAATTTAATTGATATTTTTTGTTTAAATAAATAAATTAATCGTATCAAATCATGTTATTCATATATAATCGTATCTTATCATATCGTATTATTTGAGTAATTAATTATGTTTAATTATATTATTCGTATATAATTATATTAATCATATCATATTAATTATGCATAAATTAATTTTAAATATATTAATTATATCGATATTATGTATAATACATATAATAAACGTGTTATGTTTATGTTTTAAGTTATTCATGTCATTCGTGTATTCGTGTTAAGATTATTCATGTTGTATTTGAAATCAACTAAATGATATGAATTACTAGGTCAAAGGAAGATAGCCATCTGCCTGCATTCTTAGCTTTTCAACCTCGCAAGCAACAATTCATCTGATTCAAAAGATTTGTGGCTATCACATTGATGTTTAGCATCCAAAACTCACAATTATTGAAATTTATAACTCTACCCCCAAATGAAATGGTCAGGGAAGGCTATTTCTAACCAAATATATGAAAAAAAATACATGTGCAGTTATTGCACTCCGCTCCATCTAGCCCAGTCCACGAACTGCATCCCGCCATAAATGTTGTTGGCAAATCGCACACCAACCGTGAAAGCCATTGCGACTGGTGGAACCTGCTTAGCCAAAGGTGATGCCTCCACCAACTGTTCCAATCCATTGATGATCTGATATCGAGTATTGGAAGAAACTGCAAGAAAAACACCTGCCAGATGGGAGGAGTTGCATCTAATTAGTATACACGTATCAAACGCAGGATGCTCGGAGCTTGGGGAAATCTCCATGCCAACCAATAAACACTCTACAGGTTTATTCGATTAATTTTTGATAGATCATATGCACTAAGGCAAACTTAACTGATGAATCACAATAAAGGAAACAGTGAACAGCAAATTTATATCAGGTCATTAACACCATAATTTTTCAGATCATATTATTGCAATGGTTCTATGATTTATAAGATTACCATTCAAGAAGTGAAGGCATACGTACCCCAGAGAGCTGCACTCTTCAGAAGAGGTGGCACAGGTATGTCCTCTTCTGACTTCTTCATGCTCCTGAGGGATGGAAAATATATGGTAGGAAATGAGAAAATTCAAGAAAATGATATCCTTAAAAAGTTATTAGTTGCTTCATAATAACAGCTCAATTTCAATAAATAAATCAATATCAGATTAAATTTTATCCAAAGCATATAATTAGAAGAGGTGGTTTGAAGAAACATATAAGAACCATAATTTGTTTAATGAGAAAACACCTTTTTGCCATGAAGTCTAGATCTCATACACAGCATGTTTAGACTTTATTTTAATCCTTAAGATCTCTGTAAGAAAAGTAGAAAAAGACTGTTTCCACATAAGATCATTTTATAAACCAGACATTGTCCACTAAAAGATACTTGGCTTCCGGATGGAGCTTAAATAACCCTGCCTCAATACCCTCAACCCCAGAACACGAAAAGATCAATAGCATATGGAAGATTTGTGCTTGTGGAAAAGTAAAATCGTTGCTCAATTTTCCAAAACTGACAGAATGGAATTGTGACTAGTTCCAAGTAATAAACTAGACAAAAGTTTCATGGATGGAGCACCAAGAATAAATATGCTGCATCATCATTCAAAGCAGGAAGAAGAGACAAAATTTTTTCTTGTGGCTATTAAAATATATTATTGACATTTCACAAAAATAAAGAATGCTGAATGGTTGATGTAGATGATATAGAGAAAATGAACACCAAAAAAAGAATATGCGAAGTGGAAGTCAGCATGTGATAAAAATAAGGGAAGCATTTACCTCTTTGCAGTCATTATCAAATTTGCAATTCCTTGGCCTATAACACCACATGCAAATCCAACTGATCCATACAGGACTCCCTAAAAAATATTTGATAATTAATATCAATCCACCGAAGATGACACTATAATTCAGTTGACATATATATGTAAGTTTTACCTTATAAAAGTATGTAGCAATTCTCTGTTTTACTGTAAACCTACAACCTGGCCTTTCAGCTTCGAACACACTATATAAGATGATAAACAAAAAGACTCAATAAAGAAACTTTTTATACTATCAAAGCTGCAGATGACATAACACAAGACAAGATGCATAAAGAAGCAAAATAAAAGCACTATGATGCATCTGTATCAAGCAATTATTTGTTGCATCTTATGATAACCTGCTAGGGAGAGATCCATAAGCATTTTGCATGCGCCCAAGGAACCCTTTCGATATAGATGGTTGCCCAATACGTGCATATGGTGCCAACATACCAACTAAAGCAATGTTCACCACCACTCCAACCAAAAGATCAGCAACATACAGCTCAAATTCTGCCCAGAAGTCCTTGCCTCTCTTTTGAACTTCCGCAAGGGTAGCACAACAAGAATCAATGACTATCTGCATTATGATAAAGCAATGATGGTAACCCATTTATACGAAAATTGGCAATGCAAACACCACATTAAAGGTACTCATAAACTTTAGCTTCCCATGGAGCCTATAATAAACTCAAACTATTTCTTCAAGTTTCAGCTTATTAACTCATCTTTGGCAATTGACCATGAAAATGGAGCCCAAGAGTTGTTATTTTCCAATCTGAACAATTAACACATCCTGAACAGTTAATATGAAAGTCATCATGTGAATACATAGTCAAGAGTATTTTATCTAGTATAACTGTATTTTTCAATGTAAGCACACATACAACTTGCATAAGTATTACAAAAAACAAGATGAACATTAAACAAACCTCTGTTCCAATTTTAAAAAGAAAAGATGGGTCAGCCAACATCCGGTTCCGAAGCATCCCCCATGATCTCATTGCAAATCCCATAGGCCAACTAGATCCCTAGAATAATAACAGCATCAAATACACTCCAATCACAAAATCATTCAAACTCTACGCAAAAATTGAACCTTTTTCCTATCAGTCACCCAACTATCTCTTCTAAAACATGCTTAATTTGTTTTTATATCAATAGAATCCTCTTTTTCTACAAAAAAAAAAAAATCAGTAAACTTTTACTAACATTACCTGCAAATCCAAATATCTAAGGAGAAGCAATTTACGAATCCCAACACTTTTTGCTGCCTCCAACATGTCTGAAGGAAGAGTAGCCCCTCTAGCCTCTGTCTCCTTCATAACTTCCTCAAATTTCATAACTGGTCCAAACTCCTCCTCTTCCGGATCTCTCTTTTCACCATCACCATCACCGCCAGCGCCTCCGCCATCACCTCCTCCACCACCACCATTATTAACTTTGCCATTTCCAGAATTTCCATTGAAAAATCCCCCACTATTTCCGTCATCGATTTTCGCTCCCACATCACTCCCCAAAATCCTAACTTCTTTTCTTATACTACTTTCACCACTTTCCTTAGTTACTATACTCGTTGCCACACCAGATTGAGGCTCTGCCTCTGGTTGTTGAGACAAGCTTAAAGTTACTAGCCTTTGTTTCTTCTTCACTGGAAAAACGAACCTTGAACTACTATTTTTATCAAAGCTCAAATCTTGAATCCATAACTTCCTTAAAACGACTTCGTTCTTAACATTCACCAAATGTGACAATCCAAAACCTGACATTTTTTTGTGTCGACAAATAGAGGAAACTGCAAAATGCTGTAACCTGATTAAAACCCAAAGACAGCTTAGCTTAGAATAGAAAAAAAAGTTCGAACAAAAGAAAAGTTAAACTGATTTTAAGAAGGAACAAACCCTTTGTTTGGTGGCTGTAAAAATGAATAATTTGGAGATTTTTTTTTTTAGTGTCAAAAGAGGAGGCGGAGACGCGACAGAGTGATAATTTGAGTGGTAGGTTTATAAAAGAGGCCGTATTTTTCTTTTTCTTTTACAACTTTTTGGTTTTTGTTTGTTCTTTCTTTGTTGTTTCCCCAACGTTGTTGAAGAGCCACTGGCGTTTTGCACGTGAGGTTGGATGTTAAGACACGTGTGAGAGCCCTAATATGTCTAGGGTTTGGTAACTTAGCACATGTGGGGAGTTTAGCTTCAAAGTGCGAGAAAGGTCAAGCTGTCCACATATTGTGAAAGCGGTTGGTCAAACTGGATTAATATTGAATTAGCTTTGTTTTCTTTTTCGTTGTGATTTTTTGTGACAAATTTTATGTAAGTGCTTAGGCCATCAAATGCTTTTTCCAATTTGCATTTTGCAAGTTGAACGTTGGCTTTTCTGATCACGTTCAATGGTCCAATGGAAGAATTCTTTTGTTTGTTATTCTCATCATTATTGATGATGAAGATGACATCTTTTTTTTTTTTTGTTATTCTGTTCTTTTCTAATCAACAACTTAAATTCTTTGACGGATATAGATTTGTCTTCTTCTGAGTTTTTTAATAATTTCATTTTATTCTGGAACGGGCCAGAGCCAGATAATTGAATGCCATGGCAAGCGCGGCAAAGCTCAAATCTGGAGCTGCTCCCGTTCCTGGAAATGTTTTGATTTCCCACGACTTTCTGAAAAAGCTGGTTAGTCAGCTGAAAAAGCTTTCTGGGCGTGCTGATAGCTTTCATAGTTTGGAAACTAAGACTATAAGTATGAAACTTTATTGCTTCTGTTTAAACAATTTGAAATTACAGCAATTGATCTAATTTTCTGGTTCAAAGCAGTATAGAACCCTAGTCTAAGAACCCTAGTCTAAGGACCCTAGTCTAAGGCTTTAAACTTTGGAATTGAATCATTGTAAAAAAAGAGAAAAAAGACTTTGGATTTCAAGCCTAATTAATCAGTTAATATCTTCAATGTCTTCATCCGGTTTTCATTTTTCACTCATTATTTCCAATTAGCAGCTCGATTACTTTACTCATAGCTGGCGTTGTATTGCGATCGTCTTTGATACAGAGCAGAACAACTTCAACCATTCTTTTGAGTTGCTCCTTGTTGTATTTATCCTTCAGTTTAGGATCAATTATTTTCTCAAGCTCTTCTTGTCTTATCCTTTCAGTGACCAACTCTACCAGGTCGCTACTTTCTTTATCTAGCGAAGCAGCTGATTGAAGACCAGATGCACTCTTTCCTGTCAATAGTTCCAACAGGACTAACCCATAGCTGTAAACATCTGCCTTTGTATAGATTTTCAGGTTCATCATCCACTCTGGAGCCAAGTATCCCCTTGTTCCCCGGACCTTAAAAAACCCTCTATCATTACCATCTTTGAAAAGCATTGACATACCAAAATCTGCCACTTTAGGTTCAAAATGGCTATCTATTAGTATGTTTTGAGGCTTTATATCACAGTGGAGTACCCACTCGAGACACTCCACATGGAGATATGACAAACCATTTGCTGTCCCTACTGCAATATTATACCTCTGATCCCATCCTAAAATCCTGGGTGAATCTAAGAACAAGATTTTATCCAATGATCCATTCTCCACATATTCATAAACCAGTATTTTGTGCTCATTTTCAGCACAGAAGCCCCAAAGCTTCACCAAGTTCCTGTGATTTATTTTTCCTATGATGCTCACCTCAGACCAAAATTGTCTCTCCTTGCACAACACCTTCTAGTCTCTTTACAGCTACAATTCTTTCATCGTCTAAAGCCCCTTTGTAGACTTTGCCAAAGCCTCCCTTTCCTATCTCTTCTTTGAAGTTTCTTGTTGCCCTTCTCAACTCCAAATACGTGAAACGTTTAAATCCCAAGGCTAGTGCAATGTAACCTGTATCTACTAATTTCTCATTATCAGCATGGTTTCGGAACACATACCACCACCGTAAACCAATGCAGATCATTTCAATGCCTGCAAGAGAAGCTGCAAAGGTAATTAGATATGTCATGTACCTGTTTTTCTTAGTTTTGCCTTCTTCAGCGCTGTTATTCTCGAGAACAAGTTGTCTAGTTGAACAATTCAAAGCATTTGTTGTCACCGCCCCTGGCTCTTCAGTAGACTTCACCATTTCTTTGGGAACCTTGATGTGCATAATGATACGAGTACTTGGCTAACGGTAACCATTTCGAAGAGCAACTTTTGGGAAGCACTGACCCTGTCCATCCAGCGCATAACCAAAGCCCTTGCATCTGCAATCATTTAGCCACTTATCCCTGCATGTCTTCAGCGTAATGCCAGTTTCGGAGGTGTCTAAATCATATCCATAGTAATCCGTCTTACGAAGCTCCACGAAGTCCACTTCAGCTGGATTACATGTCAGATTAAACAGAGGAGAGCATCCCTTTGACCAATCTGAAGGATCATTTCTCTTGAAACCTCTGGGGCATATGCAAGTTGGCAGTGGATTGTAGCTGCAAATTCCATTGACCCCACACAACCCTTGAACCATACAAGCATCTAAGCCACCAGGCCTCAATGAGAGTTTCCATGATCCAGTTGACTCATCTAAGCTATACAATCTTTATTCATCATAATCCAATGTTAAACGTCTTTTTGGACCGACTCCATAATCCGATGCATTGAATAAAAAATTATCACTTGATATGAAACTACCAATTTCATTTATAACTGCTATTCTTGAACTATTGTAAGGTGTTCTACCATAATAGAATATGGTTGAAACGGAATCTGGCCAATAGACTCTTGAAAGCAGAGGACCATTAAAAAGGAGATCTAATACGTTATTATCATCAAACTTCAAGTTATAGAATCCCGATAGATATGTACATTTACTTCTCATGGAGACCACGTCGTGTTCCTGGTAAACCGTTGGGATGCAAGGAGTGTATCCGTGGGAAAATCAAAGCTCTCCCAGATTACATTCTTTTCAGGGTTGATTAGGGCCAGATTTCCAGTTTCAAGAAGCCGTACTTCTACAGCTGCATGTGATACTGTGCTGGTTGACCACACAATTGAACCGTCTGCATCAAGTAAGACCAGGTTGCCATTTTCGTGGAGGATTAGCCCGGATTGCTTTCCATTAACTGGTCTGTTCCTATTGGCCATCGAAACGACCGTCTTGTCAATAGAATTGGTGAACCAAATGGAAAAGCAATAGGCGTTGGGGCCAACTTTGTAAAATCCACAGGTAAATGTTCTATTTGGTGAAACCAAATACCTATTCTCGTTCTCAACATCCAAGGAGTTTCCGGGGCTTAAGGTTGACAACCCTTGTAGCCCTGTCAAAGCACAAGCCAGAAAAGACCCCACAAGGAGGAGAATGTGTAAGAGAGGTATTTCCATGGCGCTTTAGAAAAAGGTTCAGAATATTGTTATCAAATATGAGAGTTTATTTCCCATAAGAAGGACATATATCTAATGCATATGGTAGTTTTACAATTCACATTTTCCCTTGACCAACTATGAAATATCCAGAAATTGTTTAAATTATTATCAATAATTTTCAATATTTCTTCATATAATCAAAGTTGGCTTTGACCAGCTATCAAATATATTATATATATATATATAAACAAAGTCGACTTTAACACTTATTGCACTATTGGATGGGGAGTTATGGCCCTATTTTTGGCCTAACAGAAATTTCAATTGTAGACAAAGTTATTGGACCAAATTGATTAGGCCACAATCTCTAGGGACGACCATGCTTGAGATATGAAATGGATAGAATATTTTTTTATTTTATTTTTAAATTTTATATTATATTTAATTTTATATCTATTAAAAGTATTTTAAATTTATTTTATTTTTATGGATATTTAATAGATATAGATAATCTTTGTATCAGTATTTTTTAACAAATAAAAAATAAAATTTTTTTAGCTTTTTAATTTTTTATCTTATACATTTATGTAATTTTTTAATAAATATATATTAATATTTTTTTATATAAAATATATTAATTCTAATTAATTTAAAATAAAATTTTATATTATTTAATAAAATTTTATTTATTAAATATAATATATATATAATATGGGTACATGACGGATATCATATTATTCATCTCCGTCTTTATATTTGATAAAAAATTTAAAATAATATCTATTCTTATCACCACTAGAAATTTAATATCCATCCCATTTCTATTCGGGTAAATAGTCAAATTAGCATCGCATATGAGTAAGATTAACATTCATAATTGGTCAAATTATACCAAAGATCCTTATATTTTATGAAAATTTAAAATTTAGTCATTGTACTATAATTAATACAAATTTAATCTGCATATTATTTTAATTTGATGATCTTAGTCCAATAAAAAACTCTATTAAATTTTTTCGTTAAAATGCTGATGTGATAGTTGACTTATTGATATAGTTGTTAACTTTGCTGATGTGATAATTTGGATGGATTAAATCAATTGTTAAATTATAAAAATAGTCCCATACTCATTTGAATTTGAAATTTAGTCCCTATACTTGTATGAATTTTGAAATTTAGTTCTTTTAATATAAAAAAATATTTTTAATTTTTTTATAAATTTTCTAGTTTTTTAAAATATTAAATCAATTTTTTAATTTTTTTAAATATTTTTTTGAAAGTTTTTGTATTTTTTAAACTCAACATCGAAATATTTAATCTTATTATTTTTTATTTTCTTGGAATTTTTATAAAGTTTTCCATTTTTTAAAAAATTTTTATGATGTTTAGAAAAATTTTATAATATTTTATGTTTTAAAAAAGAGTTTATAAATTTTTTAAAAAATTTACATTTTTTTATCTTATTTAAGTGAAAAATAAATCGAAATTTAAAACTTTTCGTGTTTTGCTGTTTCCCTATTTTACCCAAATTCTTATACTATTCTTTCTCAAATAAATCAAATAGAATAATTCTAAAAACCTGTTTCTTTTTATAGTTTATTTATTTATTTTTATTTAAATATTAAAAAATATCAAAAAGTTCTAAAAAACATAAAAAAATAGAAAATTTTATAAAAATTCTAAAAATTTAACAAAAAAATAATATTTTGATTAAATAAATGTTAAATTTTAAAAACATAACAAATTCAAAAAATGAATTTTGTTTAAAAATTTGAAATATCGGAAAAAGTAAATGTAATATTTTTAAAATTTAGAAAGTTTCTAAAAAAAATTCAAAATATTGAAAATTTTTAAATTTTAAAATTAAAAAAATACAAAATACAAAAACTTTCAAAAAAATGAAATTAAGATATTAAAATATTAAAAATATTAAATTTAATATTTTTAGAAAACTAGAAAGCATCTTAAAATTTTAAAATATTTTTTATAATAAAGAAACTAAATTCAAATTTTGTGCGAATATAAAGACTAAAATTCAAATTTTATATAAATACATAAATTATTTGTATAATTTAACAATTAATTTCATCTAAGTGCCATGTCTACAAGTTAATGTTATGACAACAAATTCTATACCACATCGTTAAAATTAACGCCAACATCATCAAGTTAATACTTACTTTAGCAAATCAACAATCATGTCAGTATTTTTAATCATAGAAAATTGATGAAATTAATAATTAGATAAAAATTATTAAATCAAAATAGAGTATGAAGATTAAATTTATATAATTTATTATATATAGACTAAATTCTAATTTTTTACAAAAAAAAAAACCTTTAACATAATTTTGCCTCCCTAATCTAATTGAATCAAATCAACTAAATTATAATAAACTATTGAATGTGAACCTAATTAGATTAAATATAACTTATTATTATCACCATTTAAAACTTAACTCCTTGAATTTCATTCTCTTAAGAATGACAAGGTAAAAGTAAAAATATTATTTACATTAATAAAATTGTTTATAAATTGAGTTCTGGAATTAACTTGAATTGAACATTAACAAATCCAATTTGATTAGAATTATTAATTGATTTTCACTTGATTGAGATGCCCAAATTGGATATCTTGACCCTTTTGCTAGCTTCATGGTATCAATTATAATTTTCAACTACAATCAAATAATGCATCTAAGAAAGAAATTAATAAAAACACAACTCGAGCTATTAAAAAAAAAAAAAAAAACAGCTGGAGAATGTAATTTTGTCATTGCCAAGCTAGTGTCATTATCTATTTTCCACTTTGGTGGCTTATTTTTGTTCATACATTGCAGTCTACTTGCGTGGTGTAATTGATGTTATAACATGATAAGACATAAACGGCTGTTAACTTTTTTTCTTTTAAATTCCTAATCTTATAGCTAAACTCAAGGGGGAAATAAAATGATAGGGATACAAAGAATGCATATCAATCAGTTCTATAAAAACATATATATCTTCAATCAGGTTGACCTTGCTGCAAATGTGCCTGCATGTTCATGTGTGAAAGGCAACTGCTTTACAGTTCAGTAAGTTTATCCCTTGGGCAGTTGCTTTTTGAGATGTTTGAAGGGCAAGTCAACTGATGGATCTCATTTTCTGTCTATGTTTGAAGGAACAGGTTCTACCTCAGTGATAAAAGTCTGGATTCGTGCTGAAAAATGGTGTCCTTTTTACCAACTAAACTTACCCTCAAAGTCATAAGATCCGAGTAAGCTGAGTCCTGGGCACGGACAGGGTGGTGAAATTGAAAATTTTGGACTGTCAGATTCTATTAATATGATCCTGGTTAACTAAGCCTGCCTATAGTTGAAAGAAAGCATTTTTATTGACTTCGGGTTACAATTTGCAAATTTAAACACTAGATTCCTTGAAAATAAAACTGAGCAGAAAAGAAATTTATTGCTCAAGTTCTGCCACGATTCTCAGAAGTGATCGGGACCTTAACTTCATCTTCACATTCCATTAGAGCTTGGACTATGGAATCCATTGTTGGTCTCTTGCTTCTATCTTCATCTACACAAGAAATTCCAATTTCAACCATTTTCTCTGCTTGGATTCTGCTGAATTGTCCATTCAATCTTATGTCCACGGCATCCTCTATCCAGGCAGCCTCTTCACAGTGAATTTTTCTTTTGACTACCCTGACAAACCTCGTCAATTCAGTTTCCTGCTCCTCGCCATCCTCCAACACCCAACTGGAGAGCCGTATACCTTTCACCAACTCCAGAATCACGACCCCATAACTGTACACATCTACTTTTGCTGTGATTGGAAGGTTTAATGCCCACTCAGGAGCCATGTAACCTTTTGTTCCTCGAATTCTGGAGAATTCAGAATTATTGCTGCCCCTTTGAGACAGCTTTGCTAGTCCAAAATCTGAAATTTTGGGTTCGAATTCACCATCTAGAAGTATATTTTCAGGCTTCACGTCACAGTGTGTAACCCATTCTAGGCACTCATGGTGAAGATAGGCCAAACCTTTAGATGACCCTAAGGCAACTTTAAACCTCTCTTTCCACCCAAGCACATTTCCTGAGAAAAGATGTTTGTCCAAAGACTGATTTTCCACGTACTCATAGACCAAGAGTCTATGTCTAGATTCTGAACAAAATCCCCACATTCTCACTAGGTTCATGTGGTTGATCTTTCCAATTGTGCTCACTTCTGCCCAAAAAACTTCCTCTATTTGATACGCATCTTCCAATTTCTTTACAGCAACCACCCTTTCATCTGCCAGGACCCCCTTATATACAGTTCCGGAGGCTCCTTTACCCAGTTCTTCTTTGAAATTATTGGTTGCCTTCTTGAGTTCGACATAAGTGAATTTCCTGAATTGACTAGATATCACACGGTATCCCTCTTCCGCCACTTCTGGCACTCCATGTTTTCTGAAAAGAAGCCACCAACCTGACACTATGAAGAGCATTTCAATTGCACCAATAACAGAGGCAAATGAGTATAGATAAACCCATCTCACCCTTTTGCCTCTTGTTTCATACATAGAAGAAGACCTTATTATTGTTGTAGATTCAGTTGCATTGCATGTTTGATTAGTGCCATTGAGAATGACGGCTTCTGATGTTTCTATACTCAAAGGCAATTTTAAATATATGGCACCAGGGAAATTTGGAGACTTGTAGCCATTGAAAAGTTCAGCTTTAGTGTAGCATCTTCCTTCCCCAGATAGCCTATAGCTAAAAGCTTGACACTGGCAATCTTCCAAGCATTTCATCTTGCAAGATTCTAATGATATCCGTTCATTGTAAGAGGAATCAAATCCATAGAAGTCCACATGTTGAATCTTCAAGAATTTCACCTGCTGGGACTGTGAACAGGTTCTACTAAACCTAGGCGTGCAACCTTTGTTCCAATTACTTGGATCGGCCATCTCATATCCAGGAGGGCATGAGCACTTTGGTTCTGGTGAATAAACACAGATCCCATTCTTCCCACAAAGCCCATGCACTGAACAAAGTTGCATAATAGCTTCCCATGTAATGGTCCATAATCCTGACCCATTATTCAGGCTATAGAGCCTGAGGTTACCATCGTAATCAATTGTCAACCTCCTCTTGACCCCAAAACCCGAGTCGAAAGCACTGAAATCCAACCCATCACTTGATAAAAACCTTCCCATGTCATCTAAAACAGCAATTCTGCTACTATTATAGTTTGTTCTCCCATTTTGGAACACATCAAGATCAATATTAGGCCAATACACGCTTGATATATCAGGCCCATCATACATCAATCTCAAGACATTGTCATTGTCAAAAATAAAGTTGAAATATCCAGCAGCATAATTTCCTCTTCCTAACCTGGAAATCAACTTCTTAGTTTTGGTAAAGGGTTGGTGAGGAAGAAGTGTATCCGTCGGGAAATCAAAGCTTTGCCAAAGAATTTTACCGGAGGAGTCCTTAAGAACAAGATTCCCACTATTCAAAAGCTCTGCCCTTTGAACATCTGTGGTGCTGGTGTTGGTCTCCCACGTGGTCGAACCATCGACATCTGTCAGGACAAAGGAACCATCTCCCAGAAGAGAAATTCTGGAGCCCTTTCCATTGACGGGTTGGTCGCGGTTAGCCATCCAAACAATCGTTTTCTCCTTAGAGTTGGTGAACCAAATTGAGAAGTAGTAAGCATTTTCATCGACACTGTAGAAGGCCAAGCTTAATAAGTTTTCTGAGAAAGTTAACCACTAAATCAGAAGTTTTCGACAGACAGAGAAGAGCTGTTCAATATATTGTCTTAAATCTTAACCTGAAAAAGGCACATAAGATTCAAAGAGATAATTTGACTGAAGGAGTTATCTTTGAATTCATTTACTGGTATTAGTTTCAGATCTTATGGAGTTCTTAAATGTCTTAAATTATATGCAAACAAATTCATGAAGCAGATTTTGTAGACTTTAAATCATGGTCTTTTGTCAATACAAGTCTTAGCAATCCAGAGCCCTTCTAGTTATATTTTCGACTTTAGGCAGGTATTACAGATAAGGATTTATTTTTATGCATTGTTAATATATATATTTTATATTATTAATGAATAAAATGATATTATTTTATTAATGAAATAAATTAAATGATATAATTTTGTTAATGAATATATTTTTAAAAAAAATATTAATTTATATTTATTTATTTTAAAAATTAATATTTATTTATCGAGAAAATAATATTATTTAATTTATTAATAATATTTAAAATTTATTATTAATAATATATTAAATATAAACTCTGAAATGCAGTCACATTGCATCAAGCGCGTAGATAGATTTGTTTGTCTCAATTGCAGGCCAACGGATCTCTTTGCGGTCTGTGGATGCAATTTGTTTAGGTAGACTTTTACTATTCTCATCTAGGATTTTTCTTTGTCCGCCACTTCTTTTTTTTTAATTTTAAATTTGTAATATATTAAAAAAATATTTTAAATAATAAAAGTTAAAATTAAAAAATTTTTTGAGAAGAAAAAAGGTCACAGGGACAATTTTCTTAAAATGGAAGTACCTACAAAAATTGAGTTCCATTTTCCACACGACATTGACTTCCATTTTTCACACGACATGACTTCCCTGTTTCACACGACATTGATGGTCGTGTTCCTACTACCTGCCGTTGTGTATAAATGATATCAGAGCTATGTGTATAAATGATATCAGAGCCTAACAACTTATCAAGATAGTGAGAAGAAAAGTATGTTTTTAAAGATTTGATTATTGGAAAATTGGAAAAGAAAAAGCCAAAAAAGAGTCTTACTTTCATGGATCTATCCACTTTTAGCAACTCTAGTTCTCAACCTTCTTCCTCCAGATCTTCTTTTAGTTTATCCTCTCCTGATATCAGAGCCTAACAACTTATCAAGATAGTGAGAAGAAAAGTATGTTTCTAAAGATTTGATTATTGGAAAATTGGAAAAGAAAAAGCCAAAAAAGAGTCTTACTTTCATGGATCTATCCACTTTTAGCAACTCTAGTTCTCAACCTTCTTCCTCCAGATCTTCTTTTAGTTTATCCTCTCCTCCCTCTCCTGTACTTAAAAAATCCTCCTCTTCTAAGCTTAAGTTCTTATATGAAGTAGATTATATTCCAGAAGAAAAGAAAACCCAACAAACAGTCTTACCTCTTGTAAATCCTTATACAGCTTTCTCAAACTCCTCTCCTTCTCTTACTAGATCTTTAAAAACTCTTTTAAAACCCAAATATCCAGCTCCAAAAGAATATGTTCAAGCCACAAACTTTGATTAATGTATTCTTCCAGCAAGACCTCAAGAGCACTTTGTTACTCTTCAAATCCCAGAAGAATTTTCTCACCAGTGATCAGAACAAGGATACACTCACATTCACTTTGGTGCTATCAAAATCGCCTTAACCTTCCATGGTAGAAATGGAATTCCTGTCTGTACCAGAATGGCCTTATTAGACACCAAATTTAAAGATTACAAGCATGCAGTCCTTGGAATCGTCGAGACGACACTCAATGCAGGAACTGTCTTCTTCACAGTCTTTCCAAATTACAATATGTCTCTTCATGATCCAACCCTGTTAGATGCTTTAAAAGTTCAAGTCCAGATCGTAGGCACATAAATGAAAGGCCTCCAGGCAACCCTTCACTACCAGATGGCATATAGAATTCAAGATCATGCCATTAACTTGCCTCTTTCACACTCCAGTGATGCAGTCTTTGTTAAAATGGAAACAGCAGATAGAACTCCTAAACATGTTCATATTCCAAAGCAGATTTCCAATGAAGAACTTGCCACCCTTCTCCCAAAGACGTGGACGACAAGTTATCAAAAGATTTGGAAATAAGATGAACCAATTGAACACTTTGATCCAACCTACAAGACAAACCAGGATGGTACTGTCACAATTGAATTTGATCACAGCAAAGGAAAGGATGTTCCTCCTCCAACAATCTTTCCAACATAATTTATGATGCAAAGATGCCATGCTGATCTCCTTGATGTTCCAGTCACACATTTTCAGTCCAATGGAAATCCCGTGTATGCATATAAATCTCCAACAGGATATTGCTATTGGGACATAAACTGTCAATGCAAAGAATGCCAGATAGATGCAGATAAAAGCTTCCTGGATGATGATGATGATGATGATATTCCAAAGAAACAAAAGAAGAAAGAGTCTTCCCAGCAAAAGCTCAAAGAAAGATATGAAAATGGAGACCCTGAAGTTGATCTCTTTGGTGAACCCTCAGGAAAGTTTGACTATTATGTCATCTATCCTAAGAAAGACAAACCACCCTCTCAAACCTACTCAACTCAACCCACACATAAACCAGATTCCTCTCAAGATTCCACCAAACCTTTACCCACACCTTTACCACAAATCTCTATGATGCAACCAACCTATCCCAATTCAACCTTCCCTCATTTTGAAGAATTTCATAAAGACCAATACAAACACATTCCAAAAATCCCCACTCTCACTGACAGAGATGAATATGGAAACTAAAAAAGTGTTTCTCGTGCTGAAGCAGTTTTAAACTGGCAAACTGAAAATTCTCTCCAGCAAAATTCTTACTTGCACAGAATTGAACATAAGTTGGACCAAGTCAGTCAACACTTTGATCAGAGCCTTGTCAATCTCCAGAATATTATTCTTGAAATTCAGTCAAGGATAATCACACTTGATCAAGAACTCAGATACATGGTTGAAAATAACACTGGTATCACTTATGCTTTCACTGAACGAGAGAAAGAAATGAAGAGCCTAAAGATTCAACTTACAGACCTTCAAAATCAGTTTCGTCAGAAACAACAACAACAACAAGCAGCTTCGAGTTACAACATCTTCACACCATATCATACTGGTATGCATGATACTCCTTACCAAGCCTATACTCCTCCCCCATTTCAACCATACAATCCTTCAACCTCACCTCCAAAACCTTTTTTTACACCTTTTCAGTATAAACCTCCCCCAACATCTATTCCAACATCCTCACAACCAACACAATACTTCACTCCTCTATCAGAACAACCAGACCAACCCCCTTTCGGTACAACTAAAAAATGGATTCACAGATTTAGAGAAAAACAACCAGTTGATCCAAAACCCAAAAAAGTAGCAGAACAATCACTTTCTCAACCTTCAAAACCACACCCAAGCTCAAGTTTCACACCTCAAAACCCTACACCACAACCAAACCAAAAACCTGTACAACTCATGATTTCTCCTACACAAACCCTTCCAGAAATACTTCACCAGATGGCACAAGATAACCTTCTTCAGTTCTCTATTAAAGATATTTTTCTCTCTACTTTTAAGAATGAATCTCATATAGATACTGTCAAATAAGAAGAATCAGTTGAAACAGATGATACTGATGACTCAGATGAAATGATGCTCCCTTAGATTTTCATGACAGAACCAACAGTTGAAGTTTCAGATGATACTCCAGAAGTCCATAACCCTGATGCAATGGATGCTGAACAACACCCTTCTCCATAACAATCACATGCTCCTCCTTCAACATCAAAATTCTCAGTCTTTACCATTGATGATGTTCTTCCTTCAAAATGGCCCTCAAGATTTCAAGAATTCTTAGCATGGGGACTTGTTGAATTGAATTCTCATCCCAATGTTACGATGAACACAGTTTTGATCAGATTTGTTTCCAGACTAGTTGGAACCCTGAAAAATTTTTGGGACAACATTGGTGAATACAAACAACTCCAGTTTTTTCAATGCCCAACAACCACAGACGCTGTCTCTCAATTTGTAGCAATCTTTTATGGACAAGAAACTCACAGATTAGAAACGATCAGAGAGTAATTCTTCAAACTCAAATGCTGTTCTCTCCATCCAAAAGACCTTGACAGACACTACCAACAATTCTCTCAGTATTTTTACATACTTGGTGGATTCGATGATGTCAACTTAAAGCAAGCATTTCTTAATTCTGTTCTAGAAGAACTTGCCCAGTAAACAAGAACCCAGTTGAACCTCAGATCCCTTGATGTCAAATCTATGACCCTTGGAGACATCTACAAGATGATGCTAAAAGCCCTTGATAAGATTTGCAAAAAGCACAAATACATCAAAATCTTGGTGCACAACTCCAAAAAGCTTGAAAAGCCCTGTTCTTACTCCTCTTCATGATTACAAATCAAATGTTTCTTCAAAAATCCCACATGTTTTTGCAGCAATAAGAAAAAGAAACATTTTAGAAGATTCAAACCTTTCAGACCTCCATAAATCTCCAGACCCAGACACAAGAAAATTTTCAGATATGCTGATAAACCTAGAAGATTCCAAAGATTCAAATTTGCAAGAAAGAAGAAAGACCCAAAGATTAAAAGCTCAAAATGTTTTCTCTGTGGAAAACCAAGACATTTCTCAAAAAACTGCCCAAAGTCAGACAAAAAGTCAGTCAAGATGATCCAAGACATTGCTACTATCTTAGGTATCAATCTCTCAGATGATGATCTTGAATCAATTTTCTCCCTTGATGATGAGCAGAATGAAAGATCCCTATTTATGATAAAGCAGTTTGATGATGATGAGTATGCAGATTCAGAATACTCAGATGATTTCACAGCTGATCAATGTTATGAGTATATGTCAGTTCAAGAACTCCAAAAAATCCAAACCATTCAACCTCCAAAATTACCCTTAGCTCCAGTTCAGATCTTCACTCACAAACATTCCCCTCCTTATAACAGTCACAGCTTTCTTTGATACTGGTGCAGCCCAAACCATAGCAAACCCTCTTGTCTTACCTAAACACTTTTGGACAAAACAAAAAACCTTCTTCAAAATCGCTGATGAAAATATATTTTTTACAGACTTTGTCAGCAACTCTGTTACCCTTCAAATCTTTCCAGGATGTCGAATAACTCAAAAGATTTTAGGATCTCCACTTCCCCAGAAAGACCTTGTTATTGGTTTTGATATTATTACCAGTATACCAGGTTTAAAGCTTAGTGGAAACGGTATTAAATTTGAAAGTTATTTCAGACCTTGGAAAAACCTTCCTAACCTCTTTACCCTTACCCTTCAACCAGATGTTTTTCAAGATTTCAAACATAAATTCATTCACTTTTCATGTGCAGAAACTCACTCAGATTTCCTCCAGAAATGTGATCACCCACTTTGGCAAAACCCTGAATTTTTCATTTCCCTTTCTTTCAAGAAAGATGAAAATGCCAATCTTACAAAAGCTAGTCATTCAGGCATGAACCCAGATCATTTCAAACAAGCAATCCAAGAATGTTCCCTTCTCCAGGCTCAAGGATTAATTGAACCTTTTTGAAGTGGTTTAAATCCCTCCATACTTGGTTTTCTCTCACCCAACACTTTCCCTCCCATTACCATGTTATCTTCTTCTTCCACCGATCTTATGACCTTTCTAAAAATTATGTTTTCTTTCAACCCCGTTCAGACATGTATGTGTGTAATCCCTACTCTCTGTACAACTCTATCTTTCTCTATGCTCATGAATACAAGCTCCTATTAAAAAGACTCTGCAAAATCAACAACCTCCCAGTCCCTGCAGAACTTTCTCCTTTCAAGAAAGAACCATAATGGTGGTACCTTCCAGAATACATCCAAGAACTACACACTCACCCGGCACATTGGATTCTTGAACCACCTTATGACACTTGGTGGAGTGATTTATCACACAGACTTGTTAATTTTGATCTTCACTGTCCTTCAGAATTAGCAGAACTTTCAACAAATCCTTACTGGCAGAATGATGAAGATCTCTCCAGACTTCGAGCAAGATTTGAACATAAAATTTACAATCACTTATTCCAATGTTGTGATTCTACTCCTGATAATTTTGAACAAGAACTCTTCAGATGGGTAGATGATTCTCTAATCCTTCAGTACTTTGAAGATTTCCCAGAATGATGACACTGATGGTGCTACAAGACAGAAAATTCCCAGTTCCAGTCCAAATATTGTATAATTACATGTGCTAATTTCAATTTTCTCCAGAAGACTCCACAGAAGTTGATAATGATGCCTTCACATCAAGACAACCTTATGTCAAGTCTTCATCAACTTTATGTCTTAGTCAAGTCATAATAATTTTTGTATTTTAGTATGAGTCATAGTGCTTAGTCACTGTACCTTAAAGTGATGAGTCACTATACCATAATAATGGACTTTTGTACCATAATTATGAGTTATTGTACCTTAGTTATGACTCACCGTCTTTTAGTCTTATCTTAAGCCACTTGTAAAGTTATTTTATCCTAGTCTTGTCTTATTAGGCTACTAGTCCTTTACTTTTTCATGTATAAATAGAATGATACTTCTCTAGGAAGTAATCATCCACAACTTCTCAACAACATCTCTTGTAACAAAAAACCTTCTTTTATAAAAATATGTTTGGCTAAAAACCTCTCTTCTCTTTTGGTGATTCCATCTTTCTTTTTCCATAGTTACATCTTTTAGCTTCATCCTTCTCTTCAATCTATTCCAAAATTTGCAGTGATACAAGTTGAGTATGCTCTGCAGTTGCCATATTATTATGGATCATCTGCAACAGAAACTCTTGT